GCGGGCGGGTGGGCAGTCAGAAACTTGCTCGGTTCCACAGCCAGGTGCCTGCCAGCCAGCGCTCTGTCTGCCCCTTGCTTAGAGGATGCACCTCAGAATGCTGGTGGGCCGAGTAGTGGCTTCCCTCTTGATGATAACACTGGACTTTGTACGTAGCGTTAGGGCCTTGGGACAAATTAGCGGTTGTGTTGTGTTTTTCTTCGTTTGTCCATAAACCCGTGACAGCCCTGTTTGCCTGGATCTCCGCCCGCATTCCTTTGCAGACAATCTTTTGTTTTCCTTTACAAAACCCACGCTTGGGTTTTTTGAACATTCTCACCTGTAAATATGTATTTTTGGAAATCTCTGTTGAAATGATCCTCTCGCATGTTCCAGAAAGTACTTTATTCTGTCCCACACCTATGTAACACTTACATGTCGTCCCCTGAATTCTCCGCGTCTGCCACCTGTCGCCCGCTTTCCCCGTGGCTCTGAGTGCAGTTCGCCCGTCGGTCATTTGGTGTCGCCATTTCTGTCCTCACAGGAAGCTGAAATGCTGCGGTCCATCTCCTTTCACCCTTCGGGAGACTTCATACTGGTTGGGACTCAGCACCCCACGCTTCGGCTTTATGACATCAACACGTTTCAGTGTTTCGTCTCTTGCAACCCTCAAGACCAGCACACCGATGCCATCTGCTCTGTGAATTACAATCCCAGTGCCAATATGTACGTGACTGGCAGCAAAGACGGCTGCATCAAGTTATGGGATGGCGTGTCAAACCGATGTATCACCACGTTTGAAAAAGCACACGATGGCGCTGAAGTCTGTTCTGCCATTTTTTCCAAAAATTCTAAATACATCCTCTCGAGTGGAAAAGACTCTGTAGCCAAACTCTGGGAAATCTCAACAGGACGGACACTGGTCAGATACACAGGTATGTGCAAGACTCATGTCGCTGACGTTTCTGTAGCATTTCCCAGGCCTCGATTAGGTCTTCACGGGAGATCCGTGTTTAATGCGCCTGCACTGAGGGGGGCGGAGGTCCCGTTTTGAGGAGAAGAGGAATAGGCCAGACCGTTTAGCCCGCGCTGCCCGGAGTGAAATGCAGAGCTGTAGCCAGAAGCCAGTTCCTTTCTCTCCCGGTGCACACATCTTCGCCCAGGCTAATTCCAGGCCAGCAACACTGGCGAGCCTGGGGGTCCGCTTCACCGTGGCCCACACTCCCCACAAAAGCCCGAAAGCAGCCCAGAGAAAGCCTCAGTGGACCTCGATGGGTGGGTGGAGACACTGACCCTACTCTCCAGCCCAGAGGTCGGTCTTGGCCCAGCTTTAGGCCCTGGGGTAATCGGCAGTTGTGTGCAGGCCGTGTTCTCAGCGCGGCGGCAGCGGTAGCGCCAGGGGAGACCGCCGGTGTTCGGAGCTTAGATACAGTGGCCCCGTTGAGACAGAAAAACCGAGACTGAGTTCATCCCCTTCCCAGTCACTCACGTTGGCCACTAATTGTAATAGCTGGGCCACCTCTGAGCGCCTTCCATGGTGAGGCCTGTTGGGGCTTATTGGCAGGAGCAGTGTTTGAGTCCTGGCATGTGTGGTAGCCAGTGTTTCTTAAAATACTCTGTCTCGCTCTCCGGTACCTGTCGCAGCAAGTACAAGACTCCTGGAAACTTCAGCTGGCTTCCTCTGTTCTGAAGGAATCTGGAAACCTCCACTGCTGTGCCTGGACGCTCCTGGCCAGGCTGTTGTGGGGGCTCTGCTGGGCGGCCTGTGAGCCACTAGGGGGCAGCACTGCCCCCCAGCGGGCGTGGCAGCCACAGCCCTGCCGTGCAGCTCTGGCGCAGGGGACCCGCTGGCAAGTGTCGGAGCGGTTTGGGAAATAGCTCTGGTTACCTCTGCTTAGGACTGTGTGCTGTTACAGAGAGCCACAAGTGTTGACCAGAAACGAGGGCGCCTCCCCGCGCAGAGGCACAGCCGCTGGTTCACTTTGTGAATGTTTGGGGAGTTTCCTCGTTGAATGTGGTTGGTTTTGGTGCAGAGCTGGGCCTGATTTTTCAGAAAGTATCACGCTGAATTTATATGCAGATTCCCTTTTTTCTCATTTACAGGTGAGATGCTTGTCAATACTAGCTGTTTCTGATTTTCATGTTAGAATTCAGGAGTTCTTGAAAAAAGGAAAAATTACCAAGAAAACATTAGCTAGCTATTTTGATGTTAACAATTAAGTTGGAACAAAGTTAATGTGCTGACTCAGTGGGTAAATAGACATGGCAGGTGTCTGAGAAACATTTCAGGAGATCACATCTTACTGAGGCATGTCGCTAGGGAAGAGGCTTCTGAAGCCTGGTGCCGGTCCCAGTTGTAAATACATCTACTGCTGCCCACTGTTTGCACTTGGAGAAATCCCACGGGGATGTCAGCGGAGGGCGGCTCCCAGCATCCTCCAGGGCGGGCAGCTCGGGGCACGCACTTGCGTCCTTCCCTAGCACGTGCTGGGCGCCCGTGCGGCCAGGCTGTGCAGGGTGCTGCCCTGTCTGCCCCCACAGAGCAGGGGAGAAAGCTCGGCTTTGGCACCCAGGGCCTCGCCCAGCCGCACCACGGGTCGCTGTCGGGCGCACGCGTGATGCCAAGTGGGGGTCTAGGAGCCTGCTCACACTCCGTCTGCACCACCGAGCGCAAACCGCGTGTTGTGCTGCTGCTGCGCGTGCTGTCCGCGGCTCGCTCTGCAGACGCGGCACTGAGGTGCTCGGAGAGGCCGTCACCAAAGTACTGGCCGCCGGACAGGGTTGTAAGTACAGTTGTGTGTGCTTGCGCGTGAGCCCTGTGGTTTGTCTTAGCCATGAAGAGGACGGAGACCTGCCTTTGGGGAGCAGGCGTTCGTGCAGACAGCACCCTGCATGGGAGTGGCCGCCTAGGGAGAGACGCGTTCTCGACCGCGCGTGCGTCCCGAGCTCTGCCGTGTTAAGTGCCTGGTGGGGAGAGAACTATTAGCTAAGTAGCGGTGCTTGAGGCCGTGGGGCACTTGCAGCGGGAAAAACCGGGAAATGCACCAGTGACGAAGGATCAAAACACATACATGCCTGGCCGCAGGCCGGCAGCCGTGGCGTCCCCAGAGCCGCGCGGTGGTTGCATGTTATGCCAGTAACTTTGAGATGCTGCTTTAGCCAGCAGGTGACGGAGCGGCTCTGAGGGCCTGGGGGGCGGAAAGGCCCTAACCTCTCTCCCCCACAGGCGCAGGCCTCAGCGGACGGCAGGTGCACCGGACGCAGGCCGTCTTCAACCACACCGAGGACTACGTGCTGCTGCCGGACGAGAGGACCATCAGCCTCTGCTGCTGGGACTCGCGCACGGCCGAGCGCCGGAACCTGCTCTCCCTGGGCCACAACAACATCGTGCGCTGCATCGTGCACTCGCCCACCAACCCCGGCTTCATGACGTGCAGCGACGACTTCAGGGCGCGCTTTTGGTACCGGAGGTCCACCACGGACTAGAGCCGCCGGCGCCCGGGCCCTGGGCTGCCCCCCGGCCCCACGGTCCGTAGTAAGTCGCTGCCCCGTCTCCGGCCCCCGCGCTGCCACCTCCGCGTCCTTCGCGGACGGTGCAGAGGCTCTTTCTACCTGGATGTGGAGTCACGGTGGGAAGTGGGACCGCAGCCGCTCGTTCTGCCCGCGCCGTACGGCAGCGCTGCGCCGATTCTGTAAATGCCGGACTTGCTGTTTCTCTGGAATTTCTCAATCACTTGAAGAAGCGTAAAGCATTAAAGTGCTTTCTAGACCTCAGGGGGTCTGTCGTGAGGATTTCATTGGTGGTGCTGTCCACTTGCGATCCTGTTCTGCGCCCTTCCTGCTCAGGATGCATCCTAGCAGGTGGCAGGGCGCACAGCTCGGGAATCGGGAGCTCGGTGCCTGGAACGCCTTTGGGAGAGTCTGTGGATTCCGCCCTAGGCGCCGTCCTGCCAGAAAGCTCAGGCTGCGACCTGGTGTCACACAGTTTCCACGTCAGTAGCATGAGTGGCTAGTTCCCTGCAGTCAGGAGTGTGGCTTCACGCCCATGCCCACGCCGTCCTCGCTGCGAGCCTCGCTGGCTGCGGTAGGCGGTTGCTGGGTGACGTGATCCCTTTGCTGGGTGCGCCGCGGGTGCACCTGTCTGACTGGGAGGCCTGGCGCCCCCAGGTGTGCTCGCTTCAGGAAGACCACCGCGCACAGACTGTCCTGTGTCGTGCTAAATCTTGTTTTTCCTGTTTTGGTGAGAACGGTAGCTGCTCCTCGGAGATGCGAGGGACAGCCATGCTGTCTGAGGTTTCTGCACTCATCCGGCTGACACGGGTTGCTTGTCTTTTTTTAAATCTCCTTAGGAAGCAGCCACCTCTTCATCTGTGTCAGTGGACCCTGGATTCCCTCACCAATATAACCTTCAGTTTATGCTTAGCCCCAAGTCCACATACCTCATTCTCTAGGTGGAAGCACCTAGAAATATAATCTGGGGTCGTTAGATAGAGATTTAAATTAAGGTTACAGTGATTGCTCTACCCTACAGGGGCCTTGAAGCCTTCTTGAGGTTACAGTGGGGGGCACTTGAGGTCTTGGGTCTAGAAGCCACTTGAAGCACTCGTGACGGGTTAAAATAAAAGTTCAGGTTTTTAAAGAACTACCTTTTGGCCATCGTGAGTTTCAACTTCATTTTGTGTTAAATTCAGTGCTTGAACTTGGCCGTCTGTTGAAAACTGAAAGGTGCCGTTGCCTAGGAACAAGGACCACCGCTTCACCAAAAATGCTGCCCGGAAATCTTGCCTTCAGCCTGACGCCGTGAGGCAGGGTGCCCCCTGTTCTGCCTGGCCCCAGCCCCACGGCCACCTGGGCTCCTGACAGTCCGTTGGGCCCGTGACTGGCTCATCCTGCCGGCAACGCCTGCCGCTCACGGGGGCGGCGCAGCGGGGGACCCGCAGCGTACGCCGTCGGAGCCTCGGCGTCCCCTAAACAGACCTCCTCTTTCTCTCTTTTCAAAGTCACGTTGATACCTGGCCTGGCGCACGCGGGTATGGTCCTCGGGCCGACGCCCCTCTGGCCCGCGCCGCACGGGCCCTGGGGTTCACGCGGCAGAGACTTTCCAGGCAGGCCGAGGCTGACGACTGCTGTGTTTTTTTAAGATACGTGATTTCTAAAATAAACCTTTTGTATGGAACGATCATGTAAGCTGCCTCGTGTTTCTTAGCGCTCACTTTGACGTCTGCGTGTCTGAACACACGTTCTCCGGTGGCGGCAGGGACGCATTGCCGTGTCCTGCTCTGAGATTAGTCTCCGTGGCCGTGTGTCCTCGCTGGTCTCTGTTCTCAGAGTGCACATGACTCTGCTTCTTCAGAACATTTAGCCAAACCTCCCTTTTGCCTTAAACGACTTGTGGAGTCGTCCAGGCTCGATTCTGCCACTGCCGTTTAAGGCATAAGACAGGTCATTTCTGGGCAATAGAGTCATTGGTGGTAATTAAAGAAGCTCATCAGGAGAACCCCCAACACGTGCTTCAGCCAATAAAGTTCCCATTTCACTTTGTTTTGACACACCATGAAAGCATTTCAGTGGGGAACCCGGGTTTCTGAAAACGGGGTGGCCAGGTACTCAGAACCCCTTTCCGCCCCCGGCTTAAACCCCGAGAAGGAGCTGATCTCTAGATTACTGAGTTAGCAAGACGGAACGTCAGGCAAAGCTCCCAGGGCAAGCAGCTGGGAGGTCAGCAATGTCAGCAGCCTGCTGGGCTGCTGGACCGACCCGGGAAGGAAGTCCGGAGCCCAAAAGGTGCCCCTCTGGGAGGCTGAGCTGGGCAAAGCCCTGGAAACCTGGCTGGCCCCCGTTAGGGGGAAGGGGCTGGGGGCTGTCTCTTGGGGTCCCACCCACAAGCATCCACCCCTCGAGCAAGGAGGAAAGGAACCATCTGTGAGTGGCTTGAAGAAAAGCAGCCCGAGAGCTCACAGTCCCCCCAGGCAGCAGCGACTGGGAGTGCCCAGCAGGCCGGCACAGCCCCAGCCCTCCCCTCCTGGTAAAGCTGGAAAGGGGTTCACAGCCTAGTGAGGAACTGGCTACCAAGAGAATCTGCTGAAGCAACTGGAAGAAACCAGTTCCTCAGGTGACCTGAGACTGTTTCAAGAACTCAAGCAGGAGGCCTCCCTGGTGGTGCAAAGGGTTAAAGCACAGCACTGAAGCTGGCCACAGCCCCTGCAGCAGAGTCCAGTCCCAGCCAGGGAGCGACCCCCTGGGCGCAGCAGACCTCCTGTCTCCCTGCTGCTCCCCTCCAGTGGATTTCAATCAGCCTGGTCTGCTCCCCACTCTGTCTCTGGGGAACCCTTACACTGGCCTATACCCCAGTTCTTACGTGCATAAAGCTAAAAAAAAAACTCCAGTGGGGCAACTGGTCGGGACAATCTGAGGCCTCAGAGGCGATCTGGTGATCTGAGCGAGGACAGGTGCAGCTCGCTGAAACGCGGGCAGACTTGAGAGCTTCTGTCCCGCTTTGGCCCTGTGTCCCGGGCTGGTTCCCTGCCTCCAGCCCCTGGGGGCAGCTTCCACCGTGGAGTCCCCTCCCCTCTCACCCTTTCATGCTGGTAAAGGTCTGGAGTCTGACTCTAATGTCCAGTATGGATTGCCCAGGGCTCAAATTCTCCCAGGCCAGGAGCGTGGGGAGCCGAGGTGAGTGTCCGAAACCGAGGTCAGCGGGGCCTCTGCGAGGGAAGGCACCACGCACTAGCTCCAAGAAGGACGTGTCACCCCAGAGTGCCATTCTCAGGCGCGTGGAGAGGGGACGGGAGCGCAGCAGAGTGCCCCCAGTATGGTTCTCTTGAGCGCCTCTGTCTCAGCTTGCAGGCTGTGAGGTGTTACGAAAGCCGCCCCGTTTCCTAGAGGAATCCCCCACGCGGTGTTTGTGCATCCCAGCCTCACTCGTCTGAAGTCCAGGGACGCTGCGATGAGATGACTTGAGGCTTTTCGTTGACAGCAATGACAGGATCGAATGCCAGACTGAGAATCTACGGACCTGATCGCGACGTGCCTGTGCCTATGAACCTGGTTTATTTTACTCTCAGTCAAATCTTACTATTTTCGTGTCTTAGTTTTTTGATTTGTTTTGTTGTGTCTTGGCGGGTTTTCTTACACGGAAAACGAGGCGTCGGCCGACAGAGGGCCGTCCGCGCCACCGCAGCCGGAAGCCTCAGGCCTCGGCCCCCTGGGCCTGCTGGGCCTTCATGGAACTTGCTGCCGCCACCCTCCTCCTGCACGCCCATGTGGTGGCGGCCTCGAACCAGCGCTGCCTGTCCCCTAGCTGGCCCTCCCTGAAGCTCCCCCCATGGCTGTCCCTCCCCACCTCCACCCCGCACCCCGCCCCCTCCGCAGCGGCTCTGACCTGGGGGGGGGGGGGCCTCCCATCTGTAACACATCAGTGAGTGCTTGATCCCTGAAGTTTGGGTCCAACCAGGATGCCATTTGCAAGTATGGGTCTTGTGGGCCAGAAAAAGGTCAACGGCTCCCTTTGGCCTAGGCGGCCAGCTGCCCAGACATGGGGGCACTGCTCCGAGCAGATGGGCTGCCCTGATGAGGGAGGCCGCCAGCTGGACACGAGCTGGAGCCAGGCTCAAGGACGGGACCAGGTTATAAACGTGAAACCAAGACGCCACTGTGCACAGCAGCCATCTGCCTGCTGTCGGTCCCTTTGACCGTTTCAAGTCTGAATGGAGGGAAAAAAAAAACCTGGCGGGTAACGAAGTGCAATGTCCGCTGTGGCTTCTAGAAAGTCCCCAGTGCACCAGGAGACTGAAGAGCTAGCGTCTACATGGCTGTGTGCCTCTAGAGCAGGGCTGAAGGCGGGGGCAGAGGCTGTCCAGAGGGCACTCATGGGTTGATGAGTGTGTCCCCCCCTGCCAGGGCTCAGGGGTGAAGGTGCCGGGGACCATACATTATGCTAGTGAAAGTAGGAACTTCAGCCTCTAAAGCAGAAGAGGGGGGTTTTTCTTCTCTTGTGGTTTCATGCAGCAAATGTGTGACAGTCCCTACTTATAGACGTGACAGGCGTCAAGGAAGGACTGTGCCCTCCTCGCCTTCCCCTCCCTCTGCCCTGACGTTCAGTCTTATCGCGCCTTCCAGACAGCCGGCGGCTGGCAGGACCTCCGACAGTTCCCCAAGTTGTCAGACAGCTGTGTGGAATTCGGTTTCTGAGCAGCTGAGGCCCGCGGTGACGTTGCATAATCCCTGCTGGAGCCGGAGCCCGGGGGTAGCAGCCCGGGCACAGAGCAGCTACCGGCTGGGCGGCCAGCATGAGGGGAGCCAGCACCCTGGACGGGGCACCCAAGGTGAGTGGCGGGGAGTGTGAGCTGCGCCCAGCAGCGACTCGCTGGGGGGCGGGCACCAGAGGGGGGTGCCGAGAGGCTCCTGGGGCAACTGGGAAAACTGGTGAGACTGGCACAGGGAGGGGAACGGAGACTCGAGCGGGAAAGACGTGCGCTGGACTCAGGTGGACGCAAGTTTCGTTCTAGCGGGACTGCTGGACGCTGCCCGCGCTGTGTCCACTCACTCCTGACCGTTAGCAGTCGGTGCCACAGCCTCTGCCTGCTCGCCCTGAAGACACAGTGGCACCCAGGTGTCTTCACCTTCTCGGCCGCGGCCTCCCTCAGGGTCCTAACCCGGAGGGCTCCGAGTGTCCCTGTCACACTAACGTCTGTGCTGACATGTGTCCCCAGAGCCGGGACTTCAGTACAGAGCTCCCGTCTGTGACACGAATCAAGCAAGTCTCACTATTTGGAATGTTGAGCCGGCGCCCCCAAAACGGCTTGAACGCAAGGACAGGCACGTGCCCGTGTTTCTCTGCTGCAGGCTTTCTGTATTTTCACTAGAACAGGCGAGATGAGCCCATGGGAGACTGCTTGTGTGATTCCAGTACGTTCCGTGTCATCACAGTCACAGGACTAACAGACGCGCTCACGGACGTGTGGCCGAGTGACAGCCTCTCGTGTACAGCGCGTGTGACTGTCTTAGCACCCCGAGGGCTTGCGGGGCAGGGGGTGCTTTTGTTTGGGGGTTTCCACCATGCCAGCCATTTTTAATGACAGTTCCGTGTGAGATTCCTCTTTTCCTGTTTTGTCCCAATTGTTCCTCCCTCGCTTTTGTCCCTTTTCCTTGCTTTCCTGGGGAGACGTGGCTTTGCATCTGAGGGTCCTTCCAGGGTGTCGGTCCAGCTTTAGTCTAGTGGCTCCCACCTCGTGCTGGGAATGCCAACAGGGACTTCCCCATGGCCCTCGGGCAAAGCAGACACGACAGGCTGAATAAATGTCACATACTCAGAATGCGATCCAAACCGTGACAAAATCTGGGTTCTCCAGCAAAAGCATCAATGTTGTGCAAGAAATAAAAGGGGACAACTGTCGTAGGTTGGGAATGGCAGGACCTGACGGCACGATGTGTGATCCTGGATGAGTCCTGGGTTGTAAAAACAAACAAGTACCAACAGCCAGGAAGCCGGGCGAAGGCTATATCTGGGAAACGTGGCTGCGGGCTCAGCATGTGAATGGCGTTATCAGCTCCAAGTCAGAGTCTGTAGATGAGGTCCTTCTGTGCCGTGTCCTTGCTGTGTGAAGCGTGTCCTCGTTGTTAGGAGATGTGTTGGCGTTCTTAAGGACGAAGGGACGTGACATCTGCTATTTGCTGCCAAGTGGTTTGGCCACACTAGGGCGTGCTGATGTCTCAACATGTACAAACAACCACACGCGGGGGAGAAGAGTCGCCGGGTGTTGGTGCTCCTAGTTAAAAGCTACAGGGTTTACTGAATTTTTACCCATTTTTGCAAAAGTTTCGTTTTTTTTTTTTTTTTTTTATAAAGAGAGGAGTGGGTTATTTTGGTTTTGTTTTATTTTTTAAGATTTATTTATTGATGCATATAGAACTGGGATACAGGCGAGAGGTGCAGGGGGTGAGGATTCACCAGTGAGAATGGGGAGCATAACTTCCCCTCAGAAGCACTCTGCTGAGGGGAGCAGTGGGGAGACAGGAGAGGCCTGCCGTGCCATGTGGGTCACCTCCCTGGCCGGGGATCGAACTCGCACTGAAGCAGCCACGGCCAGCTTGCAGTGCTGCGCCCTAACCTGTCGCGCCACCAGGGAGGCCAGGTTTCAAATTTTTCAAAATAGTTGGGTTGAAACGGTAGAGTAGCCGTCACGGATGCACCAGCGGCCAGCACAAAGTTCCAACCCTCTGTGACTTCTGACCAGACCAAAAACAGAAAAGGCACCGCACCTTCCCGCACCCCCAGGAAGACCACCTTGCCCTCTCCCGAGACAACCAGAGGGTGGTGCCGCACCCAGCACCCAGTGTGAGGGCAGAGGGCGGCGAGCAGGGCAGTCAGGCCCCCAGGGGGCCACACGCGGGTTGTCACGGTTGGTGCCTTGACTTTAAGTCGCCCTCACTGTGTGATTCAGGGCTCCCCTCCAGCACCAGGGGCAGCCTGGGTGTGACCCCCTCGAACCATACCCGAGCTCAGGGTTGCCAACCGCCAGGTCCACGTCAATAGAGCCCCCCCAAACCCCTCCACCCCCGCCCTTGCACAGGGCAGATATAGGGTAGTTATCTGATTGTATTCAGTGTGTCCAAATCGTTTTCTAGAACAAAGAGGAAACTAGAAATTCTACTAAGCATGATGATATCTGTGGTAGGAAACGCTGACCTCAGACAAACAAGAGGGAGAAATGGCACTGGCAGGTGCAGTGTCCAGCGTGCAGAGGTCACTAGAAATTTCGGTCTGAGAGACAAGGTGAACGGGTGCTCGTTTGGGTCTGTGGTCATTTCAATCATAGCTTGTTTGTGGAAATAGCGGCGGCAGAGACACCGTGATTCCAGTCCCTTCTGCTGCAAATCAGGCGTACCTTTGTGTGGGCAGGTGTGGTCTCCTGCACTGTGACAATCGGCACTGGTGCCAGGCATTGGGGTGGTGGTCAGGAAGTGGGGAGCCTTGCCAAGTCTGCTGAGCAAGGGCGTTGTCTCCATCTCTCCTCCGTTTGGTCTCCTTTCTCCTTTCTGAAGAAGCAGTGAGCTAACCTCGTTTCTCTGAAGGGCGGTGTCAGACAACCAACCGCCTCTGACGCAGGTTGGGGGGGGGGGGGGCTGGGCAGGGACCCGCTCCGGCCACGAGTTCCATGTGGAGAACATTTAAGCTTGTGAAATGTTCCTGGCCTTTCAGATCCAGCCTCAGTGAAAGTGCCCCGTGCTGGGGTCTCTTCCACCAAAGTCTCAGTGGGACGGTCCCGGACTCACTCAAGGAGGGGCAAAGACTTAGAATGAAAGAAAATTCTCTCAAGGCTCGCAGGGGGTCGGGGGGAGGGGGGGGTGGACCATGGACCGCACGTGGTGTCAGCCGGTCTGCAGGGACCGGGCCAGAGCGCTGTGGGGCTTCAGTGATGAATGGGGAGCGACTTCAGCCGCTTGCAGCTGTAGGGGCTCTGAGGAGGTGCGCGGGACATTTTAAACTCGGCCTTTGTCAGCAAAAAGCTTGTGGGACCATGTGGGGCAGGCAGTTTGCCACCGCCCCTGAGTGACCCCACGCGGGCCAGCCGCCCGCCACTGTTCCCGGCCTGTCTCCCTGCCGTCCACACCCTGGAAAGCTCCTCTCGCCGCGGCTGGGCCACGTGGTCCTTGTCCAGCATCGCCAGGGCCTCTCAGGGCCCATGGAGAGGGCCTCCTTCCGTCCCCATAATTCTCAACAGCCACTTCCCAGTCACTCACACAGCTAGAAGCCTCTGGCTTTGGCTGGTCTTCCCTTGGGGAAGGCATCTGTGAGGGACACACTGGATCTTCTTGTCCCCAGAGCAACGCCTGCACATAGCCACTCGTCAGGCCTGGGCACAGGCGCCCAGGCCACGCGGGGGTGAGCAGCGCAGGGACAGAGCAGCACTTCCTCGGCCTCGGAGGCCAGGGAATAGGCACCGTGCCCGGCTCTCACCCCTCACCCCTGCCTGGCCCCAGCCTGGCCTGCCACTCAGCCTCCATCCCGGACTGGGCCCTCCTCCTGCAGTCAAGGTCAGATGTTGCCTTAGCTTTGAGCCTTTGCAACAGAGGTCAGGGTCACGGGCCTGTGACCTCTCTCACCTTGTGTAGCAACTTCAACCCTTCACCTACCTCTCAAGGCAGAACAGCCCAGCTGCAGCCCACAGCTGGAAAGCAGAATGCACGGTCCAGCTTTTCACCCAACACGGGGTCAGCGGGGCCTGGGGAGCGAGGTCAGGAAGTCGGCAAATGGATACGTGGACACTGCAGCGTTGCCCTAAGGAAAATAAAGCGTTTTGGTGGAGTTCACAGACAGAACGTCCACTTTGGAGTCCGGGATGATGGGGAAAGTAGCGAAGGCCACGGGAACAGCAGGGGCAAAGGCCCTGTGGTGAGAATGCGTGTGGAGAACTGTGGCTGGAGCAGGGAAAAAGGCAGAGAGGGTTAGGTGGGCGCCCTGAGGGGCAGGCAGGCCACACTGTGCTTGCTGGCCCTGGAAGGACTTCGAGATGCGGTCTAGTGGCCAAGGGAACCCTGGCATACAAAGCAGGAGATCACGGAGCTCCCACAGGGCCTCCCTGGTGGCCAACGGTGGCCTCACCGCAGCGGGCAGCTGCAGATGGGAGCAAGACGAGAAGCGGAGCGCGGTGCCAGGAGCTTCCTTAGATGGCGCTTCCTTCTGATGAGAACCTGCTGTTGCTTCCATTTCCTGACACCTTTCTCGGCACCAGACTCCCTGTCAGCGCCACGCAGGCAGCCGGGCCCCCTTCTGCACCACACACAAACCGTCGTCATAACCAGGGAAAACCCATGACTGGGCCGTTTCCCATTTCCCTGTTTCCCCGGCGCCCGTCTCCTCACATCCACTTCCTATACAGCTCGCCTTTTCAAACAGGAAAAAAGCGTCTCAACAGAACACCCTCACGCCACTCCAGGAGCTTAAAGTCGCTTCAGAGAAAAGTGGCCGTGGCCTTGTGGCCTCGGAATAGGGAAGCGGCCGTGCGTGGTCACTTTAGAAACAGCAGTGACTCAGGAGGAAATGACAAGGTGGAGGCCGGGGGACAATGGCTGCAAGAGGAAGCTGGGAGGCCGGCCGGGGAGGCCCGCCGGGGGAGGCCGTGCGGCTCCGTGGCCCCGAGGGGACCCCTTTCTCGGGAGCCGTTTCCCAGGTGCTGTCCTGGCTGGTGCCTCACTGGACGTGAGCCGCTGGCGTGTCCGCACCCAGGGCTCAGTGACACGTCGTGACAGCACCCGGGGCCTCCGCCAGGGCACTTCTCCATGCCCCGGCCAGCGTGTTTCCTCTCCTCCACGCTGTTGTGTC